TATATATATATATAGAGAGAGAGAGAGAGAGAGAGAGAGAGAGAGAGAGAGAGACTTGAGATCATGTGAGACCAATAGTTTTTGTGAGTACCGTAAAATCAATTCTCAACTCTTGGATTAGATTTATAATCGTCAGATCTGAACATTCATAAACGTCTCGAGACTTCTCAATAATTACAAAAATGCCACCGTACAACTTTAGACCATTAGATCATTAGTTTATAAAGTTGATCAATGAATATAAATTGGTCTTATGGGTCTCACGAAAAACCGTTGGTCTCACGTGAACCCAACCCTATATATATATATATATATATATGATTTTAATTGAAGATATCTTAAACAATTAATTTGCTGAAACACCTGGCCAACAAGTGTATATTATAACGACGTTTTAACAAGGAAACCCTGCATTGCATCTTGTCAAAATCTTTACTATTTTCTTTATATTCAATACCTACACCTTCTTAAACATTCACATTTAAACTATATACAATAATTCATAACTTTAACTCTACTAATTAATTAATACGGTTAATTATTCCATCCCTTTTGGCTTTTGTTAATAAAGAAACCTTAATGTATCATTCGAAGCTCGATCAATCACGGTGATGAACGTAAGCAATGATCGTGTAAACTGTCTGTAACACGGTTAGAACCAGAAGAACAAGAGCCGCCACTGCCGATATAAACGACCATGGCGTATCAAAATAAGTGTACCTAAAACTTGCCCATTGTTTGTTTCGTTCGCTCCGAGAATAGAAGTTCACGTCATCGAATAACTGAGCCAAGTAACATGTATCGATTTCGAAAGAAGTATCTTTCCCAATATTGTTAATAAAGGTCGCGACTTCGGCATCTGTACCCAAATAATTCTCGATGATGTTTGATTCACATAAATACCCCACGTCTTTAGATGTATTTATCAAATAATCCAGCAATGTGACGTATGTAGTAAAGTGTCTGGAGCACCCACTGTGACATTGTTCGAATGCCACGGAGTTTAACAGAAATGCGCTCATGAAATCGTCGATGGTTATGGTGGGCATGTGGATTACACCGTGTTTGAAGTTGACGACGAGAAAGCTGTCAGCTTTCCCGGGCTTTAACTTGATCCCTGCTCGACGAAGCTTTGTAATGGTGTGAATGACATGCGAAGGTGGATGGCTGTCGGGCTTCTGCGAGTGCTCGTGTTCTGCGGGAAGGAAAGTCGAACGGAGAAGGTCGAGCAAGTGCTTGGCTTTAATGTTGGCATATTTGTCGAGAATGTTTCCTCGTTGTAGATCGTAATCGAAGAACCCTAAAGCTAAGGTTGCTAGAGTTGAGCACGACTCCTCCTCACCTGGCATCTTTGTCAAATCGAATAAACATTCGAGAACGAAAAATGGGATCTGATTCTCGAGCCTGATCAGATCCCTCAAGAGAAATGGAATGATCCACGACATCGTTTTTAGTGGATCACATTCATCGAACTTTACCGTTCCCCCATTAAACTTTCTAAAAAGTTCAACAAGAAAACAACCATCAAGCACCATCATCTCGATGAACTCATCGATGCCGTAAGGGATGGTCTCAGAGTAACACTCTCGGGCTTTGACCTCGAGCGGTTGTACGGCCTTCAAGTAGTCCTCCAGAACCATCCCTTTGGTTTGAGTTCGGTTCAGTAACTGGCGGAGGAGTCGCCATTTGTGCTCCTCGATCATCTGGAGGTGTGGCTGACCATGGTGGAAGGGTCCAATGGAGATGATGTGAGGTTGGTATGACTTACCATTGATGTCGATTAGGGTTTGAGGAACTTTGAAGATGGAGCAGGTGGACTTGCCGGCTGCCACACTTAGTAGTTTTGGTGTATTTGAAAGTTTGTGTTCCATGGACCTGAGTCGATCCTCGTTGACTTCCCAAATTCTGATGGCATGTTCATCTTCACCTCCTTGCTCAAAATCCATGTCCGTTTTCACAGTATTTCTGAATCAACTTCTTCGTTTGATTTCAAACGTTCGAAGGTATGATATAGTGACGCTAGAAAACACAGAGGATTAACAAGCGTTAAACCCTAAGAAATAGAGAATCCTAGAAACGGTGAACCTTAGAAATATAGATCGAATCCTAGAAACTGGACGAGTTTATTAGCAATTGAGTTAATAAACTCAATGGGAAAAGAGATGAAGTCTTGAAGTTTTATGAGATTATTTCAAACAACCCAAGTTTTACTTTATAAGGTTTTGTTCAACAATAATCAACTAAAGAAATTCACAACTAAGAAGCATACCCCCCTCTCTCTCTCTCTATATATATATATATATATATATATATATAACTAATACGGTTGTTTTAGCATGTTAAATGTGTGATTTTGAACATAGTTTAGGATCTTTCATCAACTAATGTGAAATTACAGTCTTCCTCAATTAATGTCTCTCTAATTTATAAGAACAAAAGTAATATATCTCATCATCGGTTCAGTAATTTGTATCCATGTATCTTTTGTTATCTCATTTTTGCAATATATCAAAAGTTTTAGGTGTAACAGGACCACCGAAAAGATTGCAACTTAAAGTCCTGAAAGTGACCATTAATTTAAACAACACATCGGCCGTCAAAGATGGGCTTCCTTCAACAACCAATGTTCTCTAGATGTTTTAATCACAAGATCAATTTAAACAAGTAGATCAAGAAGATTTAAAAAATTCAAACTAAGATTAAATATTATATATGTGTTTATATTCACTGAATCCATCTTCAATTTGTTCAAGTACTCAAGTGGTAATATATAAATGGTTATGTCAAGTTCTTCACTTTTGGCCTACTTGCTCCATCACAACATGTTGGTGTTTATTAATCCAACATTAAAATACGTTTTTTATTTAATTATATCAAAGATAATTTTAGTTGGAGAATAAATCTCCAACTAACCCTATTATCTCCAATTCTTGGGGAGAAAGATGAGGGTTATGGGGGGTTTAATCCCAGTATAAATACTGGATTAAACCTCTTCCAAACATACATATCGAAAATCTGCTACCTTTCTTTCTCGCTTTTTGCTTCATAGTGCCGTCTTCTTCCTATTTGTTTCCTGTGTTGACTTTGCTTTTAATTTCGATATCAAAGTTGTTGATAAACGAGATATGTCATTGCATCAAATTTTGGAGCTTTGCGACTAGAAGACTCACAACTTAATGGGGTGGTCGTAAAACCCATAAGGACATGTTTATACCGTGCAGTTCTCGCTTCAACATCATTTCAAACAAGTTGGTTTTTAATTTTCGTGTATTACATTTTTCTTTTCAGTTCACTAAGTGAACAACTCTGCTTTTATTTTTTTTCTTATATTGAATCTATTGCGGATGATATATATTCAATCAGTGTGGTGGTAATTGGTTTGGGTTTTCTATTCCGGATAATAAAGTTGTCATCTTGAATAATAAAGTTTTGAACTTTATTGTTTGATTTATCTTTTGAATATTAAAGATTTAAACTTATTTATAAAGATTCAAACTTTATTGTTTTTATCTAATTGTTATTTTTATTAACAATCTTAAAGGTTTTTATACAATGGACTCCGGGAATTACCATATCTTGAACCAAGACATGTTGAAACTTGAAAAGTTCGACGGGACCAGTTATACCCGTTTATGGACGTCCATCGCTTGTTGGTCCAGTCAACCACAAATCTACGGATAAATTAGGAAATTGATAATTATGGTAGTTTGAGTTAAAATTATAATTAGAGGGTTTTTTTAGGTATTTTTAAAAAACTCCTCTCTCCTCTCTCATCTCTCCGACCTCCAATCTCCGGCCTCCGGTGAACATTAATCCGGCAGGTACTAAGTAATCACAAAGATACACAATGTGATACCCATTGTAATATATTATGATACCATTGTGATACCAACTATGATATATATCAACACAAACCTTAAAAACAAAGATACACAATGTGATACCCATTGTAATACACAATGTGATACCCATTGTGATATACTATGATACCGATTTCATCGGAGACCGGAGATTGGAGGTCGGAGAGATGAGAAAGGAGTTTTTTTTAAAAATACCTAATATGTTCTTTAATTATAATTTTAACTCAAGCTACCATAATTATTAATTTTCTAATTTATCCATTGATTTGTGGTTGGGATTGGACCTCACAGTTACCACAGACTAATCAGTTCTCATTTGATTAGGCCCCTATATATATATATATATATAGACACACACGACACAAGATCTCTAGAATTCATAACAGTATTTCAAATAGCAAGAGGATGATATGAAAAATCCAATAATCAACAATTATTTGCTTATATTCACTGAATCCATTTTCAATCTTTTAAAAATGGTTATATGGTCAGAATCAAAGAGATTTAAATAAGCGAAAGTCATCCACGTGTTCGTATTTTAATCAAATATACTTACTATTTTAATCACCTACATGTTGGTGTTTATTATCCTTAGTTGACTTCTCCAAAGTATTTAATCAAAGATATATAAAGTTCGAGTATAGATTATGTAATAAGTAAACGTTATATGTCCTCCTATTTATATTTTAACCCCGTACACTTGGCCTTTGCGACGAAAAGTTCAAAAATTTATGAACGAGGGGCCGATCAAACCCGTTAAGCCCACTTGCTTTGTCGCTCATATTAATTAGCTACATTAACCAAAGTATTTAATCGAAAATTTTGACGACTTTTATCATATGTCTTGATTATATATATTTAAGTTTCCAAAATCAAGATTGATTGTTTCTTGCGTCTTACGCTGCCTGCTATATATATGTATGTATAGGGTCAAGTTCATTGAGATTGGAAAAGAGATGCATGATAAATTCATTGTTGAATGGCTTAATCAATATTCTCAAGTAAAATTAAGTCGTCTCAGAGTTGCTTCAAAGTTATCAAGAAGTAGATTATGGTAAACCAAAGATTATGCAAATTAGAGGGTTAAACAATTGTTTAACAGAGGGATGCAACGTTCTGTCTTCCTGCAAACTTGAGAGGTTTAAGGTGAAAACTGTAAATCATGTACAGACCATAATCAAGAAATAGAAATGAATTATAACTGTTTGGTTCTACCATCAGTTTTTTGTCTCCTTTACAACTATTAATTAAGAAAGGGTGTATGGTTGTTATAAATTAAGTCATCTTAAGTGGCATCATTTCTACATTACATTTTCTAATGTGATCACTTAATTAATAAGAGGAGAGATTTCCAAATGATCTGATCGGGATATGACTACATACACCTGTTTATCCGGTCAACTTAGCTTTCTAGATTATCTTTAGCAGCCTTAACCAAATTACTTATTAATCGAAAATTTCGATATTACTTTTACCATGTCTTCATTTAATCAAAGATATATAGAGTATCAAATCGTGCATTTGAGATTTGGCGCGGCTGATCTAACTTCTGAGCATTCATCGACTTAAGAATTCTTAAATTTTCACAAGTTCAACTATTAAAACATTAAGTATAACTCAATAACGTATACAATATATTTCAATTTACATAATATATTCATATGTTGCTCTTACTCGTGCATTTGGTCCTCATCCAAAATTTGATTTTTCAACAAAACCCGTTAAAGTTTTCGAACCTGCTGCCGCATGCATATGATTTTATACGTGATATTAGTGTACAATCATATGTGATTCAGTCATTCTCTTACTTTTTTAAATATGTGTCATTTTTGTATAAACCTAACACACACACTCTCTCTCTCTCTCTCCCTATATATATATATATATATATATAKAGAGAGAGAGAGAGAGAGAGAGAGAGTTTGAGCATAAATTATGTAATAAGTAAATGTCATATGTCATCCATTATATATATACTAGAAGGGTACTCGTGCAATGCAGCGAGATACATCTTGACTTTAATGTCTCGTTTTATTTTGTTTTTGTGGATGTTATAATGTGGTTTTCAGAAAATGATAATGTTTTTATTTTTAATAATTTTTTATGAAAAATATCATAAAAAATTTAAAAAAATATATTCATATTAGTATCAAGTTAACTATTTAAAAATTATTGTCTTTTTATAATTTCTTTAAGCAATTTTTTTATTATAATTTAATTTAGATTCAATAATGAAGTAATTTATATTTAGTTTAATAATGAATTTTTTTTATAAAGATAATAATTAATTATTTTGTTAGAACTTCATAATTATCCTAATTATATTTTAGATCTTTTATATTTTAAAATGTGATGTTTATCCTCTATTTGATTATGTTTATCCCCAGTTAGTTATACGAATTCAAACATCGAGCTTTAATAAGTTGTACTTATACATAATTTATTTGTAATCTTGAATTTTAAGTAATATGCATCAATAAACAGTACTTCATGCATAAAAAATGATTTTTAAGAGTTTTTATCAAATACTTTATAATATAGTATATATATATATATATATATATATATCGTGTGAACTTGGCTCTCACACGTCGTCCAATATTAATTCAACCCAATATTCACTTGGTCTTTGCAAGGAAAAGTTGAAAAATTCATGGAGGGAAGAGATTTTAAATTATTCTATTTACCCCACTTGCTTCATCACTGCTTTTCTTTAGCTAACAACCAATGTACTTGATCGAATATTTTGATCGCTTTAATTATTGAATATGGATTGACTGCTTCTTGCCTCTCTATGCCTGCCTGCCTGCCTGCTATATATATATATATATATATATATATATATATATACAAGCCTTGTACATCTTCAACCTCATCAAAAATATTCTCTTTCCTCCTTTTTTCATACATCTACAGCCACCTTGCATTTCATCAGTTCTCAAAACTTGAACACATATTCAAGAGTGAACTCTCAGCCCCGAGAATAAGTTTTGTTGACGGATCCTTAGTTATTTTGTCATGAGAAACGTTCCGCAAAATATGGGGTTCGGTCAGTGCCCTCAATCTACAATTCCCACACCATGTTCTTGTCAAATTCCACTTTCAGGAGATGTAGTTACACCCCAAGATTGCAAACAGCATGAAGCAGAAATAAGAGAGGAAGTGTTTGACAAGCTAAATCAGATTCTTTCCGAGTTTTTGGAACTACAGGATGCAAAAGACAACGGCGTACTACTGCTGAGGAGGAAGATCTTCATTGGGATCGGAAAAGAGACTCGTGATCTCGATAACTTCATTGTTGAATGGCTTAATCAATATTCTCAAGTGAAAGTCATCTCGGAGTTGCTTCAAAGTTATCGAGAAGTAGATTATGATAAACAAGATGTTATGCAAATTAGAGGGTTCAACAATCATCTAATGGAGGGGTGCAACTTTCAGTCTTCGTGCAAACTTGAGCGGTTCAAGGTGAAAACTGTAAATCCTGTACTGACCATAACCAAGAAATAGAAAGAAAAAAAAAACAATAATCATTGTGTTATGGTTGATTTTCTTGTTGCTATGTTTTCATCCTTCTGATTGTATTCTTCCATTTCATTTCAATCTAATAGGGGATAGAAATTTTGCAGTGATTCTAAGAATTCTATATTTGTCGGCTGATATTGTTTAACTGGTTTAAGTTAGACGACACATGTAAGTTTCAAAATAAAACTTAAAAAACCCGGTAAAAAGTTACTAATGCAACGTATAAGAACGTAAATTATAGATCAACACATCGATTCTGTGAATACTTGTGGAACGTAAATAATTATTTAACTGGTTTAAGTTAGACAACACATGTTCATTATCTCACTAGCATTAATATGGGAGTTACAAATGACCAAGAGTTTGCATTTATAGTGGCATTAATTACATTCATAGTAGTGGTTAATTAAGAATACATCTCAGCTTTCCCCCTATAAATTAAAAAACCATTTGATAGATATATAAATCCATAGTCTTGTAACCAATACCCACAAATCACAAAGCATGGCATCCATCAAGCTATACATTGCTCTTTTGTTCATATTCACAATTACTGGTATTCTTTATATTCGGTTTTGCTTAAATATATCCCTTATGCTTGTATCTTCTATCAATATGACATGAGCAATCACAAACAAAAAAAATACCTTTGATATTGAGAAATGATTTAAATCGTTGATAAGATCGTAGTATTGGGTGGGAGATTTGTTTGTTTATGCTTTCTGATAGATTTATTAACATATGACTTGTACCTGTATCTTATTCAGGGACTGAGATGATGGTTGGTGAAGCATGCGTTGAGACATGGGAGACTAATAATTGTTCTGAACCTGACTGTGTTCAGACGTGCAAGATTAGACATGGGTCTTTTGCCGAAGGCCGATGCTTGTTGGTTGATACTTGTCAATGCACTTATAACTGTTAAGATATTTCGACTTTTATATAAGCTAATTTAAATAAAACAGTTATGGTGTATGAACATGTTATTACCGTCCCTTGAATGAATTATATCAGTCGAAAATTAGAGCATTGTGCTTGTGGAAGTCAAGTATCAAGCATTAAAATTTCATAGTTTTAATGTTTGAGCTAGCTATTAAAATCACCAAAAGCCAATTGATGAGTCAATGTGATTCTTGTTTTAGTATAAAAGAAAGAGAACAATAATAAAATATAGTAAGTAATCTGTAATTCGCATAAAATTATAAACCTTTTAAATATGGACGAGTTACAAGTAGATTACCGTGAGCTGCATCAATTGTAATCTAACTATAGCGACGTATCTTTTTTACGATGACAGTACACTAATCCTTCTATGTACAATTTTAAGAATATTTTAAAATATGGCCTTCAAATTCCCCCAACCCCCATGATTCGATGTAACGATAAAATCAATTACCATCATAATATTTACAAACACTTGAAATTACTCTGACAAATTTATTTGGTTTATTGAGTTCGAAACCCTATAAATGAAATAAGAGTACGATGGATAACCTACATCCATGTCGGTCAATATTTTTGAAGTATATAATAATTATATACGATAAATGTTACAAATAAAGTCACGTTTGACTTTTAATAAAATATAGTTGGTATTCACACGAAAAAGCTGAAAAGATTATAATAGAGGAAAAAACATTTACATATAATTGGAGGGAATGAGCATATCTGCTTAGCCTACTTGCTTCTCCCACTTGGTCCATCACTACATGTTGGTGTTTATTATCTTTAGTTGCCTTACCTAAAGTATTTAATCAAAGATACACACACATACATACACACACACACATATATATATATATATATATATATATATATATATATATAT